CCTCCTGAGTTGCTGGGATTTACAGGCATGTGCCACCACACCTGACTCAAAATTTAAACAAGAATTGGGACAGGGCTGGGTGGGGTTGTGGCTCAGTGGTAGAGCACTTGCCTAGCACGTGTGAGGCAATGGGTTTGATCTCTGTCACTACATAAAAATAAATAAAATAAAGGTACTATGTCCATCTACAACTAAAAAAAAAAAATTGAGATGTAGTTCAGTGATAAAGTGTCCCCTGAGTTCAGTCCCCAATTGGAGGGAGGGAGGCCACTGGGGACAGTTTTTTCATTGAAAGATCTCAAGTCTAATGGGGTAGTATATGACTTGCTAGCAGTCCCCACATTGTTTGGTCAGGGTTCCCAAAGAGCCACAGGAGTATAGAGCACAACAGTCAGGCACTGTGGCTCACACTTATAATCTCTGGAGGCTGGGGCAGGAAGATAGCAAGTTCAAAGCCMGCCTCAGCAATTTAGTGAAAGAGACCCTTCCTCAAAATAAAAGCTAAAAACAGCTGGGGATATAGCTCAGTGGTAAAGTGTCCCTGGGTTCAATCCCCAGTACTACAAAAAATGAGTAGAGTAGGGTGGCAGTCCCAGGCCCAGGATAAAGTAAGCCAGRTGGAGAATATGGAACTTTGCTCACTACAGAGCCCTATGGCAAAGCAGGCTTTCCTTGAGCTTCTTTAACTGAAGCAGAGGCAGAGGAGCTATAATTTCAGGGTTGATGTGTCCAAGTTAGGAAGTCCACAGGCTTTTAGGGATATGCGGCAGGGAAAAGGAGCCCTTTTCCTAAGGAGGCCTAATCTTTCTTTCCTTCTTCCCCTCAGGATGCAAAAAGCTATCAATAGGCTGAGCAGACTTCTGAAGCCTGGAGGAATGATGCTTTTGCGAGATTATGGTCGCTATGACATGGCCCAGCTGCGGTTTAAAAAAGGTATTTTGCCATTATTATTAAATGGTGTTTTTTTGTTTATTTGTTTTATTTTTGTTTTGGGGGGTTTTGTTATTGTAGAAGATGGGCACAATACCTTTATTTTATTTTTTATGTGCTGCTGAGGACCAAACCCAGTGCCTCACACAAGCGAGGCACGCTCCACCACTGAGCTACCATCAGACTAGACCTAGAGGTCAGTGGAAGGAGACTTCAGAATTAGAGCCCAGTTTGTAAGYCACTTGATACATAACAAGGAAAGGGATGATGTTTACAAAAACTTTGAATAAGAGTTTTGTACAATCTGGGTTTTAGGTCTTTTAAACCAAAATAACTACTTTAAAAGAGCTATGCTTAGATATTTGATTACATAAATAACATTAAATTTAGTATGATCAAAGATGCCATTGAAAAATTAGAAGAGGCTGGGTTCAGAGCTACAAGCTTGTAATCTGAGCTACCCAGGAGGCTGAGGCAGGAGGATAGCAAATTCAAGGCCAGCCTGGGCAATGTAGCAAGAACCTGTCTCAAAATAAAAATGACTGGGGATATCACTCAGTGGTAGAGCACTTCCCTAGTGTGTACCAGGCTCTGGGTTCCATACCTAGCATTGAATTTTTTTCTCTTAATTAGAAGACAAATGAAAAATTGAGTAGATGTATTTCTAGAACATATAATAGATAKACTCATATCTATGCTCGTCAAAAGGCTGTCATGAGATTGATAAGGAAAAGATCAGTGACCCACCCAAAAAACAGGCAGTTCACAGAAGAGCATATCTAAATGGCCAGTAAACAAAACTTAGAGGAACTATTAATAAAGAGATAATTGTTTCTAACCCTCTCATTGGCTAGTTCAAAGAAAGGTATGTGCTTATTATTATTTTTTTTTATTTTCAGTACTGGGAATTGAACCCAGAGGTATTTTACCCCTGTGCCATCTGCCCAGCCTTTTTTACTTTTTATTTTGAAAAAGGTTTCACTAAGTTGCTTAGGGCCATGTTTAGCTGCTGAAGCTGGCCTTGAACTCAGCAACTAAGCAAGGCCCTAAGCAACTTATGGAGACTCTGTCTCAAATAAAAAGTAAAGCTAGTTGTGGTGGCACACTTGTGC